TTTGGTTTTCTACTTCTCCATCTTTAATCACAAAATGTGGAAAACTTCTGAAAGAAGAAAGAAAGATAACAATTAAATTCAAAATAAACTCTTCGTGAACATATGTAGATCACGTGTAAAAGTTACTTTCAGAAGTTTTCCACATTTTTTGTATGAAAATGGATTCAAGAAACACTTTACTGTGAAATTTTCACAAAACAGTTTTACAAAACGGCAACACGTGTTTCGCTATGCAACAGCTTCTTTAGTCATGTCAATACATACAGTATAGACACGCCTGAAGAAACTATTGTTGCGTTTTTGTAAAACTGTTTAGTGAAAATATCACAATGAAGTGTTTCTTATATTCTTTATGGGTTCTCATCAAGTATCGGCCGATTGAATCACATATAAGAAAATGAAGTAGTAGGTATTTGATAAACTATCTTAATTAATTGATGGATGTAGCCGTTACTACGTGGTAGGAAATCATAATGAAGAAAAGAGAAATTAAACTTTCTATGTTTTTTAGCACTTTTATTTGTATAAGTTTATTGTATAAGTTTGAAAATGTCCGTATAGGACAGTGTTTCTCAAAGTGTGCGTCGCGGCGCCCTGGGGCGCCGTAGGCCACGGTACAACGTTTTACAACATAGATAACTGAGAGTAAAGGTAATACGTCGGTACCTATTAATAAAAATCCTCTGATAATATCGGTAATTGCAAAATGCAACCCGTTCAGACAGCCACCTATCTACTTTTATTAATTAAATATCTAATGTAGTCTTTACGTTCGGGGCGCCGCGATAACCTTCAAAAAACATAAGAGAGCCGTGAATTCGAAAAGTTTGAGAAACTGCAGTAACGTTAGTTACAAATAAAAGTGGTAAAAAACATAGAAAGTATCATTTCTCTTTTCTTCATTAAACTATCTTAATTTCAATATTCAAAATTGTGCTTGAATCATATGTATTTTAAATTTACTATGTTTATGTTTACTACATAGCACTTTCTGACTTGTAAGTAGACACAAAAGTGTGTAGCATCAATAAATTTATTTTCTTCCTTTGTCCTGGAAATTAATATTTTGTTTCATTGTTAAACATGTAGTGTAAGGTGCTATCAGATTACTTTCTCTCAGAACACATTAATCAAAGTTTTACTTATATTCAACTTCAATTCAATTTATTCATTGGTTTTACAGATTACAGTGAAAGTAATATAAAACAAGTCACAAATTACATATAGGTAGACATTTCACATTTGAAATATGAATAAGTCATCTTAGTCTTTTTTCGATGATGCTATCGTCATTAGCGAAACACCCATCAAGATACAGCCAGAACAAAAATACTTTCTCGGTGTTTTAGTCATATTAGTGAGGGAAAAGTGTTTTCAATAGTCCATAATTATTATATAAAACTATCAACCTTACGAATTTCATGAAAATTTTACAGTAGTCAATGAGTACCTCGTCTTCATGAGGATTATAAACCAGATTCATCAATTCCTTTCCCTTGTTTTTGATAGTATCGAAAATCAAGTGTTTCCTTTCTGTTTCTGGAGTATTTAATTTAGCTTTTCCCCGTTTGCAAGGCATAAGTAAATGATCCCCTGGTTCTAGTTGTGGCAATGGATCACAATTCACGGTCTCAACTGGTTCTGGTTCTTGTATACTTGGCTTTGGAGTTTTTTTGTAGTAGGGTATTGGAATTGGATATATTGCATCACCAGCTGGTACACTAGATGTCTTCTTTCTAAGTGTTGACGTATCTATATTTGGAGTTATACTTCCTAGATCCGTTAATCTACAAAAGGTGATGATGCAGTAATAGTTGTGAATTTGTCCATGATAATAAGTGAACAATTCTACAGGCGTTTAGCTAACAAGGTAGTTTCATCTCTAGTAATACATAATATATACATATAGCAATACTTAATATATACAACAGTAAGTTACCTCACTTAATTAGTTAATAGTAAATGAGCAAGTAAATGAACATTTACTATTAACCAATCAAGTGAGATAACTTACTGCAGTATATATGAATTGTAGTCCAGTGTGTACTATTTATTACTACATTCATCCTCACAAACTTTCACATTTGTATTATTATAGATTAGTTTTTGAGAAACAAACTTTTTGGTTTTCTACTTCTCCATCTTTAATCACAAAATGTGGAAAACTTCTGAAAGAAGAAAGATAACAATTAAATTCAAAATAAACTCTTCATGAACATATGTAGATCACGTGTAAAAGTTACTTTCAGAAGTTTCTCACATTTTTTGTATGACAATGGATTCAAGAAACACTTTACTGTGAAATTTTCACAAAACAGTTTTACAAAAACGCAACACGTGTTTCGCTATGCAATAGCTTCTTTAGTCATGTCAATACATACAGTATAGACACGCCTGAAAAAAAAATCTGTTTAAAATCTGTTTTTCCGTTAACCAGCTGTCGCAACCCTACGAACGACAACCCTCAGAAGTCGAAACTTGTGCGAGCTGAGGATTAACGAGGTCTTACCTTTTAACGTGTGATTCCTAACACGGGTTGGGCGGTAGCAAGTGAAGATCGATCGTTCAGACTAGGGCTTGAACCACCGACCAACACGGCAGTCAATTCGAGTGAGTGAACAAAGCACCCACGCCGAACCGCTTGGCTACCGACTGACCAAGAAACTATTGTTGCGTTTTTGTAAAACTGTTTAGTGAAAATATCACAATGAAGTGTTTCTTATATTCTTTATGGGTTCTCATCAAGTATCGGCCGATTGAATCACATATAAGAAAATGAAGTAGTAGGTATTTGATAAACTATCTTAATTAATTGATGGATGTAGCCGTTACTACGTGGTAGGAAATCATAATGAAGAAAAGAGAAATTAAACTTTCTATGTTTTTTAGCACTTTTATTTGTATAAGTTTATTGTATAAGTTTGAAAATGTCCGTATAGGACAGTGTTTCTCAAAGTGTGCGTCGCGGCGCCCTGGGGCGCCGTAGGCCACGGTACAACGTTTTACAACATAGATAACTGAGAGTAAAGGTAATACGTCGGTACCTATTAATAAAAATCCTCTGATAATATCGGTAATTGCAAAATGCAACCCGTTCAGACAGCCACCTATCTACTTTTATTAATTAAATATCTAATGTAGTCTTTACGTTCGGGGCGCCGCGATAACCTTCAAAAAACATAAGAGAGCCGTGAATTCGAAAAGTTTGAGAAACTGCAGTAACGTTAGTTACAAATAAAAGTGGTAAAAAACATAGAAAGTTTCATTTCTCTTTTCTTCATTA